CTAGGAAGGGGGCAGTCCCAGATGATGTGGAATGAGGCTGGGGTTCTAGGATTCTGCTGATGTGATGGGTGAGGTACACAAGGAAATAGGGCCGAGGGCCAACTCGCCTCTTCTTTCACCAAGGAGACCATGAAGGCTATAGTTCACAGCTTCCCTAAGGTTGCTGCCATCTTTCCACGCTCCTCTGTGATGTCTACTCCCAATCCTGCCAGCACTATGGATACCTTGGGGGGTGGGTTGGTTCAGGAGGCTCCTTCTTCAGCTAAGAGGGCAAATCCAGCTAGGTGGGATCGTGGAGGCTTGCAGGAGCACACTGTGGGGGCTGGTCTGGATGGTAGAGGGTTTGGTGAAGCAGGGCGCGGACAGCTGGGAGGTCATCAGGATCTGAAGGCAAGAAAGGGGCGGTTCAGAGGCTGTGGATCTCCTGGGCACCTGGCACGGGGCTTCTCGGTCCCGAAGCACTCCTGGGACTCACCCACGCCCAGCTCCTGCAGCAGGCTCTGGAACTCTGGCTCAGCCTCCAGCAGTTTCAGCAGATTGGTCGACTCCATCCGCTCAAGCTGCACCTCCCAGTACACGTAGATCTTCTGGTTGAATGTGACGTACACGAGGCAGGGGCTGTTGCGGCCCTCCTTGCAGGCATATAGGCCTGCAGGGTGTGGGGGTGAGACAAAGGTCAGAGAGTTCCAGTTCCAGTGGGGAAGGGCAGAGAACAAGATGCAGGCCTTGGAGTCAGCAGTTTGACCCTCCCACAGACGTCAAGCAGAAAGCTAAAGGCCCTCTTTTTTTTTTAATTTAAAAAAAATGTTTATTTATTTTTGAGAGACAAAGCATGAGTGGGGGAGCAGCGAGAGAGAGGGAGACACAGAATCTGAAGCAGGCTACAGGCTCCAAGCCTGTTGCGGGACTCAAACTCCCAAACTGTGAGATCATGACTTGAGCCAAAGTCAGATGCTTAACCGACTGAGCCACCCAGATGCCCCTAAAGGCCCTCTTTCTAATTCATTTGTGTTGGGAACTCAGTAAAATAGGTAAAATACCTCCCCGTTTCAGATATGAGAAAACACCATGGGGGGCACCTGGGTGGCTCAGTCGGTTAAGCGTCTGACTTCGGCTCAGGTCATAATCTCACAGCTTGTGAGTCTCAGCCCCGTGTTGGGCTCTGTGCTGACAGCTCAGAGCCTGGAGCTTGCTTCAGATACTGTCTCCCTCTCTCTCTGCCCCTTCCCTGCTTGCACTGTGTCTCTCTCTCAAAAATAAATAAACATTAAAAAAAAAATAGGTGTTGAGTTATGGTAAAATGGCTTAATAAATTAAAAAAAAAAAAGAAAAAAAAACCCACAAGGCAGAATGGCCCCACAAAAGTGCTTTGCTGATTTTCCCATCTTAGTGATAGCCTTGGAGGAATGAAGGACAGTCTTGGTAGTCCAAGGGGTAGATTAGCAAAACACGATCAGAAACTAAAGCTGGGCACCTGGGTTGCTCAGTTGGTTAAGTGACCCAACTCTTAATTTCAGCTCAGGTCATGATCTCACAGTTTGTGAGCTCTCTCTGATAGCATAGAGCCTGCTTGGGATTCTCTCTCTCTCTCTCTCTCTCTCTCTCTCAAAGAAAGTAAGAAAGAAAGAAAGAGAAAAGAAAGAAAGAAAGAAAGAAAGAAAGAAAGAAAGAAAGAAAGAAAGAAAAGAAAAAAGAAAAAGAGAAGAAAGAAAAGAAAGAAAAAGAAAAGAAACTAAGGCTTCTCTTTGGTGGCAGTCCCTTCTTCAAAGGCATTTTAACCTTCTGGGTCACTGGAGTATGTACACCAGAGCGCTGTACAATTCTTACCATTTCAGCAACCAAAGATCTCCCCATGTCACCTGAAAAAGCCAGGACTGTTTTCCAAGTCCCTGATTTGGAACAAATGCAAATTGTCTGGGAGAATGCTCCTCACAGAGTTCTGACATGCTCAGATGGGAGAGAACTTTCCCATGCCTTCACACATCCCAGACGGGCAGATGATAAGAACTCATCCCATTCTTTAAGATATTGAGAGATGAACCTGTCACTGTCTCCCATTCCTTATTTAAAACTGTGCAGACAGTAATTCAGTACCCACCATCACCCTCTAACAAAAGTGCTGAAGAGCTCATTTGTTTATGAAGACGCACGTTAGGGGACACAGAGAGAGTAGAAATGAGAGGCAGACAAGTGTGGTTAGAAAGGGTCCACGGGGTGGGGTCCCACCTGCACAGAAGGCTCGGATATTCTCATCCACTTGGAAGCGGACAACGGTGCGGTTGTGATCAATGATATATGTCTGTCCATCCCAGGCACAGGCAACCACCTCCTCATGCCCATTGCCCTGAAAAAGGCCAGAGACAAGGATGCAGGGGTGGCGGGGAGCTGGTAAATAGAAGAGCCCGAACGATGGGTCTGGATAGCACGTAAAGGACTTGTGGACCTAGTTCTGGGTGACCAACAGCCGGGAAGGAAAGCAGCCCTAAGTTTCTTACTGAATTTCCTCCATGCGCCAGTCACCAAACAACTGATGAAGGAGACACCATTATTCCCAATTTTATATGGAGGAAACTTCAGCTTATAGAAATGAAGTTGCTCACTCGTGGTCACACAGCATAGAAGGGAGGCAGCACAGAATCAGGACTCAAACCCAGGCCTGTTCTACCGACTTCAAAGCCTCGTGCCTTTTCTCCTACCGTCACACATGCACAACGGCAAAGTATGCCCCCGTGTCGCAGATTATGGGGCTGCAGCCTTGGTAAAGAGAGGCTCATAGATAGACGAGAAAAAAAATTACAGAACATACATCTGGAGTTGAGGCCAAAAACTCACTTCTGGACCCTAATAAATTATTTCTCTTTGGAGCCATTACTCCTGGAAAAGGTGCCGCCGAGAGATTCCGTGGCAGTGCAGAGATGGTACTAAGCCCTGAGAAGTTAGGAAAAAGACTCACTTGAGACGCAGTTAAGAGTCTGTCTGAAGAGACTTAGATAAACATCGAGAGCAAACTGTGAAGTGAGAATGGACTCATTTGCATCACATCTCTCCACGTGAAGAAGGTAAGAATGTTCCTCTCACCGTGACATCCAGTTTCTCTAGGGCAAAAAGCTGATGATCCACCTGCACCGACCACAGCAGCTTGTCCGCTTCCTCCATGAGCTTCAGCGTCCCTGCAGGGTGACAGGCAGGCCGGGGTGGGCAGGACAAGGACCCCTGAGCACACCCCACAGGCACACAGCCTCCTGCCCCAGCAGGAACTCACCATCCAGGGTGCAGAGGGCAAAGAGGCCGGAGCCGCCCATCTCAGAGTTGTGGCCTGCAGGAGAGACAGAAGGACAGGAATAAGAAAATGTGAAGGGTAGGGCAAGGTCAGAGCACACAGGGTGGGGTGAGAGGCGGCCCAAGGTAGGGAGGAAGGGAAGGCCCAGCATCTTCCCTCTCCCAGGACTGATGCTTGCCCCTCAGCTCCCTCCTGTGTCCCCACCCCACCTTCACCTCGTTTGATGTTGCCAATGAGGTGGGTGGAGACATTCTTGTTGTGGATGCGGCCTGAAGTCTGGTGCAACATGACATCTCGGGCAGCCGGGGCCTCCCTGTGTGGGGATGGGGTGGGAGGGATACTAAGTGGGGACCAAATGAGCCTAGTTCTGCAGGACGTTTGTGGCCCCGATCTCTGTACGAGCTTCTAGGATGTGAATCAGCCTGGAAATCTATTGCTGACCCTGTCTGGCCCATGTGGTGAGTAGAAAAGAGAGGGACAGAGCTGCCAAGTTAGAATCTTGGAATCTTTTCCAGGTGCTACGAGGTTAAAGCCCAGGATTTCCTGGGTCCTGAAATCATTTTCCTTAATGGGGCAAAGGTGCTGTGCCAGGACCCAGCCGAAGCAGCTCTGCCCACTGCAGTCCTGTCCACTGCCAGTGCATCCAGGAGCCCATCTAGATTCCACACAACCACACCATCCACAGGTCTGCGCCCTTACCTGCTGCCCTCCGGGGCCCCCTCAGAGGTGGGAGGGGGCCCGGCGTCCTTGTTCCAGGTACACAGGAGAATGGCGTAAGCACAGCCCGGCTGAGACACCATCAGTTCAGGAACACCCAAGGGCCCTGGAGTCACTGAAAGACTGTCCACCTGCACCAGGGAACAAGGCCTTAAAGGGGGCTGGGGACAGAAATGGGACCCTGCCGAGAGCATGGGAGAGAAGTGGGGCAGGGGCCCTGGGAACAGCATCCCAGGCTTGGGGGGCAACAGCAGGAGGAATTTGAGTTTGTAGGGTTCCTGCCTCGTGCCATCGTCTCCACATAGCCCATCTGCTTTCCACTGTGCATGCCTCAACCAGGGTCCACACTCTGACACAAAGCACATCACACCCTCAAGCACACTCTTAACTCTTAGCCTGGTGCTCTTTGCCTCTTATTAGTAATTTTCCCCGAAGACCCTGATTTGAAACTCTCTTCCTTGGATTTCTCTCAACAAGGAGATTTTCCCTTCCTCCCACTCTAAACCCTGACCCACGACTGTTCTCTCAAGAGGGCCCCTACAGGAGGGCTTCCTCCCTGCTCCCTGGGCTCCCTGAGCACCCCCCGCTCAGCCTCTCACCTGACCCTCCAGTGTCCACTTCTTGAGTGACACCAGCTGCCCTGTTGGATGTTCAGTGCCTTCACCCAGATCTTCCCAGCGGAAAGCCCGTACCACACGGTCCGTGTAACCGACCACCAGCTCACAACACCCATCTCCATCTGTGGGTCCAGGAAGTAGGACGAGTTTGGAGCCACATGCGTGTTCATCAGCTTGAATCCTACACACACGTCCTCTCCGCCCCCTGCTAACATCACCAGCGTTTGCACCGAAACCCGGTACAACTTCAGACCCCAAGAGCTGCGCTAGTCCCCTCACACACTTTGTGCTGTGCTTCTTCCCTCAGACACAAAACTCGGGTGTCCTGATTCATCCAACATACCATCACCTTCGTGACAGCTTCTGGCCGAAACATCAGCCCTATATCTGTACGACTCACTCCCTTGCCACTTACAGTGTCTGATCAAATGTCACCTTCCCAGAAAGGACTTTCCAGATAACTCCATTTAGAATTGGTAGCTCTACTTCTCTACCCTGACACTCCCTAGCCTCTTTCTGTGGTTTATTTTCTCCACGGCACTTACTACATTCTAATATACTATTTAATCTTCTTAAAATATTTTACACTGTTTATTTTCTGTCCTTCCTAGGAAAGGTCCAAGAAGGCAGTGATTTTTGTCCATTTTATTCACTGCTGCAATCACAGTGCTTAGAATGATAACTAGTTTATAATGGGAGCTTAGTAACTCAACATAAAATGCATAATAATTGCACCCATGAATACTAACTACCTCCCTGAATCCCGTGACATCTGCTCTACTACCCATTGACTCCTATTCCCCTGGCTGCCTGCGGAGAGAGCCATGCCCACCGATGTCGCTGATCAACATGACCTTGGTGTTGGCAGGGATGTGCTGCTTGAAGACTGGATGCTGCTCCTCTCCCATTAGGGTCTCGTGGTGCCCAGAAGCATCCAGGGCCTTGGTAGGCGTCAGGTCACACAGGTGAAACCATCCCTCAGCACTCACCGCCACCACCAGGTTCTGGGAGAGGCAGAGGCATAGGAGGGATGGCTGGGGAGGGAAGTTTGGGCACAAGCCTGGTCGTTAAAGGACAGAAGTGAGGGCTAAAGCCTTTAACTCTCCACTGATTTCCACCAGGAGAGGGGGAGCAACCTAGGCAAAGCCTTGGAGTTCTACCGAAGTCCCAACGTCCCTTAGAGTTCTTACCTTTCCTTTATTACAAACATCTCCAACCCCAACACAAGTCAGCTGCAAAGAAAAGGGGAGACATGCTGAAGGAGACCAGTACTCTCTAATCTCAGTGAAGCAAGGAGAGGGTTTGCTAACTACCATCATTTGCTGAAAAGTTGTGCCACATGACCTACACAGATAGTTCGTGTTAATCGCGTTCTTGTGCTCTAAGTCTGGTTTACCTAGAGCAGTAGGGAGACCTCAAGTAGTTAAGTCTGTCTGGGCTGAACAAGACAAAACAAAAGATACATCTAATACAACCAGTCTATCATATTTCTAGACTTATGCAAAGTATTACCCCCATTTTGTACTATACTTTATGAGATCAGATGACCTTGGCAGTTTTTAAAGTACTGAGAGCCACGCGGAAACAGAAGATAAAAAACAACCCACCAGCTGGAGGCGCACTGCCCAGCGGCTTCCCTCCCTGAATTGAATGAACCCTGAAGCAGTGGCTGGCTGAATAGCTGGTGAACTGGGACACACTGGTGGGTTTCTGTATGGCTCAGCCTTGATAGTCCCTGCACAGAAAGGATCCTTCTGCCCCTTACGCCCCAGGAAGTTGAATACTGACCATGCCCTGGCAGGAACAGGTGAGCCACGGCCGGCTGTCATCATTCTTATACACAAACAGCTTCCCGCTGGTGTCCCCCACCACCAATTCATTTAACTTCAAACGAAGAGAGAAGACAGTGTTAGGATGGAATCCTATGGAACCACCTGAAGCTTTTTTCTAGGCCCATCCTGGGGACATCATAAGACCTTAATTTGTATCTTCACCAACTTTAGTAAAAATCTTTTGCAACCAACAAAGCCACAGTTTTCCAGTTTCTTTTTTTTTTTTTTTTTTTT